GTCGACATATTGCCCAAATCTGGCGCACCTGGTGCGCGCGGCGCACCTGGCATGTGCGGCGCACCTCGCGGGCGTCGCGCACCTGGCTGGCGTCTACATTGGTTCCCGATGGTTGTCGACGGTGGCTACTGCCTACGCTGAAACTCGGGTGCCAGTTACGTAGCAGGAGGGTGGGTGGGAGTGATCGAGACGGCCGTCACTCGGGAGGGGTAGCTTGATCACTGTGCCTTATTACTATACACCCCCTCCCCCACCCAACCGGCGACAAACACGGGACAATGATCACAAAAGGACCTGCCCGTCTTAACGCTGGCGACGGGCGGCGACGGGGCCCAGCAGCGACGGCGGCGACAGGCGGCGTCAGGGAGCGACGGGCGGCCACGATCGGCCGGGGCGGCACCGAGCACAGTTGCCAGCGGCGACGGCGGCAGCAACCGGCGGCGGCGGGCGGCCACAAGCCGGCCAGGGGGAGGGGGGGGAGGACCAGCGCGCAGTAGGGGGGGATGAGTTCGGGCCACCTGTCCACTAGGGTGGAGTGGCGGCCTCCTGCCTGGCTTGGGCTGCTTCTCTGAGCAGCTGCGCCAGGGGGACAGGAGGGAGGCTGAGCACGATCGGGCTGGCGGCGGCACTCTTCGGGTGACGGCCAGACTGTGCTCTCTGCAACTGCAGCTTTGCCCCGTTGTGGGGCGGCCACAAATTGCAATTGCCTGAAAGTCCACGCGAATTGCCCTCCTTGAAAGATCCACACTTATGGCACACCAAGAAACTCGTAGGCTGCTCGAGGTGCTCATAATAAAACAAATTATGCCCCCTAGGGTTGGAGGCTAGACTGGACATCTGCGGGCAGTGTCCAGGGCAATCCATTGCTCTGCAACGCTCCTCCAATGCTTTGAATGTGCGGACGCGGATGCGGCAGATCGTGCATCGGCGCTGGCCATTCACATGAGCCCAGACATGGGCCCTCGGGGACGGGTTCGCAGGACGATCCCTCCGAGGGGGCCCAGGCGGCGGAGGGGGAGGGGGCGAGGGAGGGTCCCAGGAGGCCAAGGCCGAGGCAGCCCCCGAGGGAGGGGAGAGGCTCTTGACGGGCTTGGCCAGCGCCTTGTTCCGACGAGGGGCAATCGCAGGCCACTCTCCAAGGGCATGAGACACGTATCGTAAGTATTTCTTAAGCAGAGCAGTGTCGTTCTGATACTGCTCTGCTTCAGCAAGACTGGGTTGACTGCCAAGGTTCGCCGCGGCCTTGGCAATCCTGTCAGCGGCCTCATTGCCACTGGCTATCCGAAATTCTTCACTATCGGGGGGCAGCGAGTCCAGATTTTGGTGGGCCTTAACTTTCTTAAGCTTATCGCCGAGAGAGATCAGGCCTCCACCCGCAAGGACTTTGCAACCTGACCATTGGTTACGGCGAGGGTATCCAACCTCTCCGTGCAGCTGCAAAACCCCTTTATAGTCCGAATATATATTGTCAACCTGACGGGAGAGCCTGCCAGCCGCGACAGCAGCTAGGTGTTCGGCGGCCCCAGAGGTTTGGGCCCCCAGGGACCCCACCCTGCCACTGAAGGTGGCAAATTCGGCGCCATCAACCATGCACACTACGGCAAACCCAGCGGCGTTGAAATTGTAATGACCATGGTACGTACAGCTGCCATCTATAAACAGATCCCCTGTAAACGCTTCCTCAGGACTTAAACAGGGGTCTTGACACCAAAACCTAGCGGCCTCCAACCCAGTGCCAGCGGGAGGGGAGCCCACGAAATCGGGCGTGAACTGAAACCCAAGATGCAGGGGGGAGGTACCAGGGATTGGGTCTTTCAACCTAGCAAGCTCCCCACTAGTGAAATCTTCTCGGGCACTGGCGGTCTTGGGGCACTCCAAGAGACGGTGTTTGAGATCATCTTTGTGGTGTCCACATAGGCATCCTTGGGGCGCATCATACCCTGCTGCAAGTGCGCGCTCCATCGTCCAGATGCTCTGGGTAGCAAAGGCCAGCAACGTGCCTCTCTGTTGCTTGGACAGGTCGGTGGCACGAAGAACAGCGCGCAGTGCTGCAACATCTAGCTGCTCGCCAGGATGTCCCATCTTGGCTGCAGCTCGTTCAGCTAATCGATCGTGCCAGGCAATCTCTAGCTGCTTGGCAATGTAGGCGGGGGAGGTTCCTGGAAGGGGGTACACAAGGCCTGCGGGAGTCACAAACTGGAAGGGACCTAGGAAAGACCACCCCACCCTGGCCAACGACAGGGCCGCCGCACTGAGAGGGCCCCTACAGGAGCCCCAAGATTTAGAAACCCTCGGCAAGACAGCCTCTCCCCAAAGGCTGAGCTGCTGGAGACTGACCACGGCCGTCTCGGGCCGAGTGTGGGCCTCCCAGACGAGACGGTGCCACATAAGCGCGGGCCCGAGGCCCGCTTTCCACAGGGGGTCCTGGAGGATGAGGAGGGCGAGAGTTCGACTCCTTGAGGCACACCTAGGACCTGCTGCTGCTAAATACTGAGTCTGGGCTTGCGCGAGCATCGTGTTGTTGATGCCCGTGACCTCAACTCCAAACGAGGTGGCCGCAAAGAGACCAGTATTATACAACTTCTTTCCATTTCCTCCAGCGTGCTTTATCATCCTGATACGGGCCATCCTTTTCTGAATCCTGACGATGCGCTCCAAAAAAAAAAAAAAAAAAAAAAAATAAAAAAAGAATAAAAGAAAAAAAAAAAAAAAAAATAAAAAAATAAAAAAAAAAAAAAAAAAAAAACAAAAAAAAAAAAAAAAAAAAGAACAAAAAAAAAAAAAAAAAAAAATCAAAGCCATAAAAAAAAAATGAAAAAAAACAAAAAAAAGCAAACAAAAAAAAAAAAAAAAAAAAAAAAAAAAAAAAAAAAATAAAAAAACAAAACAAAATAAAAAAAAAAAAAACAAGAAAAAAAAAAAAAATACAAAAAAAAAAAAAAAAAAATATAAAAAAACAAAAACAAAAAAAGAAAAAATAAATAAAAAAGTGCTTCCTACCCCTCCTCCATCTCCTCTGGGGTCTTCCAGCTCCGCTTTCAATGCCGAGGTTGGGTCCTGAATTGTCCGTGGAGGGCCCCGCGAGCGTCCCAAGGGTCTTCCGAAGCTTGTTTGGGAGGTCTTGGCTGGAGGCGAGCACCTGGCTCTTCTTAGTGGCGATCTGGCACTTAAACTCGTGCTGGATGCAACTGGCTAAAGATCGAGCAGCCACATTCATCTGGCTGATCACTAGGTCATAGCTCTTGCCATGACACTGCAGCAGAAAATCATCGATAAACATGGCAAGACGGATGTAACAGTGTGTGCTGGTCCACTGGTCGAGGGGAGCTAAAACATACATCTGAACCAGATACGTAGCCCAACCGCACCCAGCTATGAGTCCCCTCCATGCTTTTCCAACGCTAACACACACATCTTGCATAGCAACAAATCGTGAGCTACCATACTGAGATAGTATAATACGGAGCAAGCAACATGGAAATCCAGAAGCAGCAGCTCTCTTGGCAAGGCACTCACGATCCACATGTTCATAATAGTTAGACAGATCCCAGAGCACTTGGGCAGAGTGTTGGGGATCCTCACTGCACGCATGCAATTCACATTCAAGAGACTGAGCGTAGACCAACTCAACAATAGAGTGTCCAGCTTGATGGGCAATGTATGGCCGCCTGTGGTGATATTCCCACTCGCGGGCAGCAGACCTCCTAAGACGGGCCCACACTCGATACAGAGCAGGGAGCATGCCAATGGAGCGAAAGGCTGGCTGAGCATGTATATCATCTTGCTGTTTGACTTTGAGTATGAGTGTAGATATAGCTCCCCGAAGCTGCGATGGCATGTGCCCTACCTGCTCTATAAGCTCAATCAGCTGGCAGACGAGCCCGACTTGCTCGTCGTCTAACATGGCGAAGTGACGCGGGTGCACTCCGTCCCACGTTGAGGCCGTACTGTGAGGAAAACTGCGAGAAACCTTGCGGAGGCGCACGGGGGTGATAGGTCCCAGGGCAACTCTGTCGTCCGTCGGGGGGACACACTGGGGGGGCTCTTCGGGGTGCACATCCCAGATCTTAGCAAGTCTGTCGGCCTCAACCTGGAGGAGGTGCTGCGGACGTCCTGAGAAACGCTGGCAGTGAACAACTGAGACAGGCCTCCAAGCTTCCAACTTCTTCGTCCACCTGTGAGCCCATCCCACTCCTCCCTTCATAGACGATTGAACCCAATCCCTCCATTCCTGGCCGTCCTTCCTGTGCTCGGCGGCAAGTTCAGAATCTATGATCTTGCCGACTTGCTCGAGCAGCTCGTCTAGAATTGTTATGCCCAACTCTGCGTTGAGCTTCTGCACTTGGAAATCCTCATGCAAGAGTCCTGTGGCGATACGAACTTCCTGCAGCCCTTGGGCAAGGGCAGAAGAGGTACTGAAAAGCTCTGGGCTGTCTTCTAGACTGTCCAGAGTGTCCCGAAATTCCTGGAGGTCATTATCCTGGATGCTGCGACGAAAGTCCTGCAGCCGATTTTGGAGCCACCGAAGGGGCCTGGAATAGGCCGTCCAGCACTTACGCCCCTGGGTGCACTCGGCACTCGCCGAGACCATGTGGATCTGGGGGGGGTGGGCCCTAGGGGTTTTACTGGGCTTGAGGGGGGTGTCTGTTTTCACACTTAGTGTGTGTTCGAGGTCCTGGACGAGGGTGAAATACACGTGGTCCAGGATGGTGGAGCGCTGCTGGTCGGAGAGCGGCTGCGAAGCATCTCCGAGCAATTGGACAGCATAATCTATCGCAGCAGCAGTCTGATGCCAACTTACCGACGGGAGCTGAGGACCGATGGGCACCCTAGTGGGGAGCTTCTGTGGCCTGAGGAGCGTCGGGATCTGGAAATTGTCCTGCACTTGCAGTGACATGAGCACAGGACGGTGGGGAGAAAGAGGATAGGAGGACAAGGTGTGAGGGGGGCGCAGCCAGGGACCTAGGGCCTGGCTGTGGATAAAGAAGTCTAGGGTCGACTTCGTCTTCTTAGTATAATAGGTGGCCGCTTTCGGCGCCGCCACCGCCATCGTGGCACGGGTGAGGAAATCCGTGCCCTTCTGAAGCCTCTCGGGCTGCAAGTTGAAATCGCCAGCAACCAGGAGGGGCCTGCCTACAAGATCTTGCGTCTGGCCAAGAGTGGCCAGCAGGTTCAGATTGGTCTCATTGAGGCCCGCAGAGGCCTGAAAATAAGCGCTCACCAAACCGAACGTTGGGACCCCTGGCGCTTCGATGACCACTCCAGCAAGTCTGGAGAGATCCGTCCCTGGAGGAAAAGAGAGCGGCTGGACCCCCAAGTCCAATCCGTCCCGAACTAAAACCGCCACCCCCGAGACAAGTTCACCCGAGGGGTTGCGGACAGCTGGCGATATATGAGCAAGCCAGCCGCGTGCGAAGCACCATTGTATCTGACGCGTGATGCCGTCCCCAGCATCAAGCCTGCACTCCTGGGCACAGATAAAAGTGAGATTATTAGCAGTGGGAGACTCTACAAAGGCTTTCACTGCTCCCCAGCACGATCCGTTGATCGTCGCGAACGTGTAGAGGTTGTCAGGAAGACGACTTGGTGTCCGTGGCCCCCGTGGCTCCAGCGGCTGCCTCCGCGGCCATCGCCGCAGCCCGCGCCTTCTTGGCCTCGGGGCCCTGCGCGCCCTGGATCTCGGCCACGCCGTTGGCGACGGCCTGGAGGGCGGACGCCGCGCGCACCAAGGACTGTGTCTGGTCCATCGGGGTCGCACCGTCGAGCTCCTCGTCGGTGGGGCACGGCACTTGCACGGCAGTAGGCGGTGCTGGCGGCGCAGCGCCGCTGGGTGCCACAGCCTCTGACACCTCCATCTCGTCCTCGGGCTTCTGGCCGACGGGCGGGAAGTCATGATCCGCCCACTGGCGAGGCGCAGGCACCTGCGACTTCTCGTGCTGCGACGTGAGGTCGTCGAAGTATTGGGCGAGCTCCACCACCTTCGAGCAGAGGTCTGGCGGCGCCCTGCTGCCTGGCGGCATCCGTGCCGCAAGGACCCCTTGCAGCGTCTCCAAGAGGTCCTCATCCTTGGTGGCCGCCTGCATGGCGGCCTGCTTGGCCATGTTGTGCTGGCTCTCCAGCGACTGGATCTCTTGCTGCGTGGCCTTGGACTCCTGCACGAGCTTGCCGTGGCGTTCGCAGGCGTCCAGGATGACCTCCATGAGCTGCTTGAGGTCCGACGTCTGTGTGATGTACTTCTGGCGCTGGGTCTCCAGCTGATCTGCGAGTGATTGAGCTTGTTGGTCCAACGACTTGGATGCCAGGATGTCGGCCTTGGCCTGCTTGAGTTTGCCCAGCGCCGCGATATGCTCATCGCCGTTGGGCTTCCACTTCTTCCAGAACGTGACCTGGGCCTGGGCCAGGGCCACTGGATCTTCTGCTTGTGGCTGAGAGTCGTCGCCGTCGGAGTAGGCAACGGTACCTGGTCGGCGGAGGCCTGGTGGATGACTGGGCCCACGGGAGCGGTCTCGTCCACGCCAGCGGCCTGGCTTCTCCGGAAGTGGTGCTGGAGGCGGAGCTGATTCACGGCCTGCCCCGCTCGCGGCGCCGAGGATGCTGGCGGCACTGCCACGGGCGCCTCCAGCGTTGTCACTCTGCTGCTGCTTGAAACGGGCACCGCATTGAGTACAATGCCTAGCCCCAGTAGCGCACCAAGCCCAGCCCTTGCAGCCGCGGCGGCTGCAGATGATGTACTTCTGCTGCTTGGCCATCGCTTCTTGTGATCCCTGCGCCTCCCTGGCGCGCACAAGGTCGCGAAAGCAGATGGGGCTGTCGTGATGCCGAAAAGGCCACGGGGGGCCTGCTCGAGCCCCAGCACCCAGGGCCTGCCCTGGATGGCAATGCTGGTGTCCTGTGGCCCCCAGAGGCCAGGACTTGAGCCAGCAGGCGGAGAAGGAGGAGGATGAGGATGAGGATGAGGATGAGGATGAGGAGGAGGAGGAGGATGATGAGGAGGAGGACGAGGACGAGGAGGAAGATAAGGAGGAAGAGGCGGAGAAGGAGGAGGATGAGGATGAGGAGGAAGAGGAGGAGAGGAGGAGGAGGAGGCGGAGGAGGAGGGGGAGGAGGGGGAGGAGGAGGACGACGAGGAGGAAGGGGAGGAGGAGCTTGAGCATGAGCATGACTACGTGACAACGACGTTGTCATGGAGTCATGCTCATGATGTCAGACAGCGTCAAGTGAAAGAGGAGGAGGAGAAATAGGAGGAGGAGGAGGAGGAGGAGGAGGAGGGCGGCACATGAGGTTGGCCCAAGAGGCCCAAGGAAACATCCAAGGGGCCGCTGGCCCACGCAGACCCCGATGTTTCCAGATGATGCCCCCACTCCCCCGTTCAGGGCAGTTCTGCTGGGCACCGTGTCTGGGTGGGCTGGCGGGGATGCGCGAGGCGTTAAGAATTTGAGCGGAATCACAACGCCCTAGGTGGTAATTTTGAATACACATGACAAGACACACCAAGTCACACCAACACGCGGAAACGGACACAATCTCAGTTTGCCAGCCATTCGCCGTGAAGGAAGCCATGACATAAAAAACGAGCCCCGAAGTGAAACGCTTGCCAGTGGCCCAAGCAACATACCAGGCTAAACGTACAAGGCACTTCGAGGCGAACTGATGCGGGAACTCGTTGCTTGACTCGGATGGGAGACTTAGAACAGGCTCGGGTGACTGTCCATGCTGAACCGCCACCTCGTTTAGGCATGCAAGCACATCCTCTGGAAATGCGATTGCGCCTCGGCCCCGCTGAACTGGAGGGCTGTGTCGAGGAACTCCTGCATCGACAACACGGCGAAACTGCGGATTCTGCGAACTCTGGCTCGGCGACCCCGTGGCGACGAGCTTCCCGACATCCGCCCACCGCGTCGACCGCTCCGTCCGCTGCCTGCGCCTGCATCGTCCCCAACCGCGCGGCCCCTGGCCCGCCGGCGCTGCGCCTGTCGCTCCGCAGCCGAGCGGCTGGGCCGCCAACGCCTCAGCGTCGAAGCGTCCTGGCCCAGTCCAGACACGGGGAGGAGACAGCGGAGCGGGGGCTACAGTTGTGCTCGCATGGGGTTCGAGCCCGACTGGCTCGACCCGACCTAGGCACTCGGAGGGGGCGGAGGAGGGAGGACGAGAACGGAGGAGCAGGAGGACGAGGAGGAGGAGGGAGGAGGGAGGCAGGAGTTGAGAGGAAAAGGAGGAGGAGGAGGAGGAGGGAAGAACGGAGGAAGGGAAGGAGGGAGGGAGGGAGGGGGGAAGGGAGGGATTCAGGGAGGAGGAGGAGGAGAAGGAGGAGAAGGAGGAGGAGGAGAAGGAAGAGGAGGAGCAGGAGAAGGAGGAGGAGGAGGAGGAGGAGGAGGAGGGAGGGAGGGAAGAAGGGAAGGAGGGAAGGAGGGAGGGAGGGAAGGAGGGAGGGAGGGATTCAGGGACGAGGAGGAGCTTTCCGAAGCTTTACCCCGCAGCCCCGCTGGCTGTCGCGCGGCGGCCGCGCCCGACGCTCCGCGCGTCGCGCGGTCACCGCTCGGAGGGCCGCGTCCCTGGGGACCGTCCTCTCTCCCTGCGCGTGGCGGAGGCGCAGGGAGCGCTGCTGACGGGCTGCCCCCCCCCCCCCAAGGCGGAGCAGGTCTTCCTCGCAGCCTCTGCACTTCTCACATTCTCGCACGCCGCAGCCGTTCCCAGCTTCTGCGTCACCCTCTTCTCACAATTCTCTCACTCTCTCATCCACTCGGTCCGAACAGCCAATCGTCAAGCGTCGGTAATTACCGTGTGCGCTTGAGTTCTCTTTCTGCGCCCGAATTTTCTCTCCAACCACCGCTCGTGTCTCGCCTCAGACTCAGGCTTCCCGCTCGGTCCGCACCTAGAGTTGCTAGGGTAGATAGTTGGCTCAAACTTCGCCTCTTTCGTTTCGCATGCTGCGCCTTGCTCTCTCTCTCTCTCTCTCTCTCTCTCTTTCTCTCTCTCTCTCTCTCTCTCTCTCTCTCTCTCTCTCTCTCTCTCTCTCTCTCTCTCTCTCTCTCTCTCTCTCTCTCTCTCTCTCTCTCCTGGCACGCGCTGCCCCCAGCTCTGTGCCTCTTGAGGGTGTCGTGCTCCTGCTTCGCCGTCCCCTTCTCACACATGCTGGCCTCCGTAGCGTTGCTGATCGCGTCGGGCTTGCACCTCGCCTCCCGCTGATCGCCCGTGTGGTTCCCAGCATCGTGAGTAAGGATGTCAGGTTCCAGCTTCACCTCGCACTCCTCGCGCTCTGGCACGATGCTTATAATCGCTATCTCCGCTATGGTACCCGCACGGTAATTGGCGGCATCGGGCTCTACCTTCGCCTTCCGCTTCTCGCATCCTGGACCAACCCACTTGTCGGCGATGGTCTTTCTGGCGGCCCACGTCGCTGAGCTGACGCCAACACACTCACGGGTGAACTCGGATCCAGCCGTGGCAACGCGGTTCGCCGATGGGGGGGAAGTGCAAGGGATACTGGGCTCCAGCTTCGCCTCCGCCTTCTTCCCGCATGCCCTGATCCCAGCGCTGTAGCAGACGGCGTCGGGCTCGACCCTCGCCTCCCACTTCTCGCGCTGTTCTGAGCACCGTAGCGGATGACGTCGGGTTCGTCCTTCGCCTTCCTCTCGCTTCCGCTCGTGGCGGCCGCCCGTCGCCCCCGCGTTGTAGCTGACGGCGTTGGGCTCGTCCTTCGCCTGCTGCTGCCGCTGCTCAGCGCGACTCCGCAGTAGCCCAGCTGCCACTGCTCTTCCTTCGCTCCCACTGCCAGCTTCCAGCCTGCCGCTAGTCCCTCTCCGAAGGCGGCGGCCAGTCCGGGGGGGGCCCGCCAGCGGAGGCGCGGCTGGGTCCAGCAGGCGCATGACCTCTGCGGCCTGCTGCTGCGCCCGCCGCGCCGCCGTCTGCCGCAGGCGCTCCCTCCGCCGTGCAGCGCGCGCCGACCGAGTCGCTGCAGTCGAACTCGGTGCCGTGCACGCGTCCTCCTCTGGCGGCTCGGGCGGCGCAGCGCTGGGCGCAGGCCGCACGCGGAGCCGCACGCGGAGCCGCTCGCGGCGCCCTCGGCGCCTGGGGGCCCCCGTGCGCGGGCCCATCCGCGCGTCCCGCCCGCCGCGGGGGCAAGACGGCTGCGCGGGGCCTCGCTGGGGAGCCGCCTTCAGGGAGGAGGAGGAGGAGGAGAAGGAGGAAGAGGAGGAAGAGGAGGGGAAGGAGAAGGAGGAGGAGGAGGAGGAGAAGGAGGAGGAGGAGGAGGACATTATCGTCCTCCTCCCCCACCTCCTCCTCCTCTACTTTTTCCTCCTCCTCATCCTCCTCCTCCCACGCACACCCTCTCCCCTCCTCTCGCTCCCCCGCCCTCCGCCGGAGGGGAGAAGAGGGAAAGGGGAGAGAGGCAAATGAAAAAGGAGGGAGGGGGGAGGGGGCGCCTGGAAAGGGAGGGCCGTCGTGTGACCGAGGTGTGAGCGGCATGCTGAACTCCCATCCACTTTGCAAGATCGAGAGAACACAGAGACACGAACAAACAACAACCAGGAACAAGGCAGGAGGCACCCACCGCCTACCTCTCCTCGACGAGGCCCTCCTCCAGAGGGAGGGAGGAGGGGACGAGGCCGGCCTCATGCGCGGGGCTGGAGGACAGCCACTCCGACGGACGGGGGCTGCGCGGAGCCTGGACGCGCCGGGGGGGGCGTGGCGGAGAAGGAGCGCCGCCGCCGCCGAGCGTGGGGAGTGGCACTTCGCCGTGCTCGAATGGAGAAGGGGCGACGGGGGGGAGGTGGACCTGGACGGGGTGTTGGTGAAGGGGAGCCAGAGGAGGGCAATGGGGGAGAGGGGGAGGGGTGCGGAGGCAGGCCCTCCGTCGGCGGGAGGCCTCCGGAGGCCTCCCCGGGCGCACGGCCCGGACTTTGAGTTCCCGCCGCTCCTGCAGCCCAGGCTTCAGCCCACGCTTGCGTGCAATGAGGCGAAGTGGCGACGCATCTCG